TAAGTGACGTGTCAACATTATCTATGAGTCTTCTTACCCAATTAATCTCAAACGGTCATAATAATCTATATTTCATAAAATAACGAGGTCAAATTTGTTAGCCGGCATGATGTTAAAATGACAAATCAAATAATTCAACTTTATATATAACTAATATAGAATTGGAATTCGCTAATCCAAAATTCGTCGAAAGGTATTAACTGCAAAGTTTTTAAGATAACTGCGAATTTGAGGAATTTTTTAATATTTTGGACTTTAAAGATGCCGTTGTTCTCTGTCGATTTCGAACGACTAATAACAAATTGCCGATTGAAACAGGAAGGTGGCAAAACGTATTAAGAGAAAACCGTTTTTTTCATCAATGTAACAATCGACAAATTGGAGACGAATATCACTATATATTTGAATGTACTTTTTTCGATCAAAAACGTAAAGCGTATTTATCCTCCTTTTTTGTACAACGACATAATACAGTTAAATTCTCTGAACTTATGTCGAGTACACGAAAACCAGTCCTGAAGAAGCTTTGTTCATTTATAAAAAGTATTAATACTTGCGTTTGTCCTCCTGGCTAGTGACTTTTGTAACCTCTCTCCCAATGTTTTGTATATATTGTAAATAGTTATTGTTGTTATCTCTGTACTGATGTCATGCATTGGGTTTATGAGAATAAAGATATATATATAGGACAATGGTGTGGATTAAAATTTACACTAACCCAGGCCTTTTTGTTTTCCACATAACTAATATTACCAATAATTAACAAGTTCCGGGTCGATGGATTCAAACAGAAAGATTTTGAAAGCAGAGAAAACTGTGCACCTAATAATCAGCATGACTTTATCAGATGACAATACGAAAACTAAAAATCAAGGCTAAAAATAAGGCGTAGGTACTTTAATTCAGTCAGTGAACCACGATGTCGCGGGTGTGTTCTAGTCTTTATGCGTTTACTTTTCTACATTGGCTAGAGGTATAGGAGGAGGGTTGAGATCTCATAAACATGTTTAACCCCGCCGCATTTTTGCGCCTGTCCCAAGTCAGGAGCCTCTAGCCTTTGTTAGTCTTGTATTATTTTTAATTTTAGTTTCTTGTGTACAATTTGGAGTTTAGTATGGCGTTCATTATCACTGAACTAGTATATATATATTTGTTTAGGGGCCAGCTGAAGGACGCCTCCGTGTGCGGGAATTTCTCGCTGCATTGAAGACCTGTTGGTGACCTTCTGCTGTTGTCTGTTCTATGGTCGGGTTGTTGTCTCTTTGACACATTCCCCATTTCCATTCTCAATTTTACTTAATATTGCTTGTTTAACTTTTTCTGTTTTAATGATTCATTTAAAACTATATATATATTACCTTTTTAAAGGCCAGGTATTCTTTATCAATACCCGATCTGATGTAACATAAGTGATATTTGGTCGGATTAATGATTTGACAAGAATTTTCCCCCCTATCAGTATATCTACATTTAATAGGGTAATTGATCTGTTTTTGTAAAAGTTTAAAGGTTGAATTTCTTGTAAGTTAGGGTAATTGTGCCTAGCTTTTGAGAATTTATCAATTCTTGATTCTCATGGTAATTATCAAAACCATTTACAAGATATTGTAAGTTGAACCAAGAATTTCTGTAAATTCAACTGGTAAACCATTATTACCAGGTGTTTTATTTAATTTCATTTTAAAAGCGGTTTTTGTAAACTCCTCTATTGTCAGCTTTCCTTCAATTTCATTCCCTGCGTTTGTACTAAATCTGCTTTTGGAATAAATCTGCTAATCCACCAAAGTTCAAATGAAGTGGATGGAAGCAATTAAAGGCAAGCGTACGGCCTTCAACAATGAAAAAAAAAACCCATACCGAATAGTCAGCTATAAAAGACCCCGACATGAAAAATATGAAAAAAATCAATTGAGAAAACTAACGGCTTAATTTATAACAAAACAATTCACGAAAAACAAATATGAAAGACATACACCAACGACAACCACTGAAATACAGATTCCTGACTTGGGACAGGCATATAAAGAATGTGGCGGGGGTTAAACATATTAGTGAGCGCTCAACCCTCCTCTAATCTTGGAGGTTACTTTCATAAATTTCGTTTAAAAGCTTTAATAGGTACTTGAAAACAAATAACATAAAACAACATAAAACAAAAGCACTGTAGACAAACCACGAGTAAACGGACTATACTGACAATATGTGAAATGTACCGAAAATACAGAATTCAAACCACCAGTCATGTTCTGGAATAGGTCATGTTCGGTACTAAGCAGACCAGACGACGTAGATGATAAATACAGAATTCAAACCACCAACGATAAGACATAACACAATATCCAACTAGACTTACAAAAGAAACATCATAATTATATACATGAATGTTGGATGTATAAATACCTAGACACGTCGTATAGCAATGCAAATTCACACTCAGCAAAACAGTCATGTTCTGGAATAGGTCATGTTCGATACTAAGCAGACCAGACGTGGTAAAAATGCCGTTAGTGAGTTTAGACACCGACACATCGTATAGATCAATCAATTTTTGATGGTGTCCATAAAATTTACGCAGTGTCATTTTTAATCTTTCCTCCTTATAACTCTGTTTAAGCAGTTTCTGCGTAAGGAGCATACTCCTGTATATGAAGTCCGTTTAGTGTGAACATGCACGAGCATAACGTATAAACTGAGATATGTAAACACCATACGTTTGGGCAGAGGGTTTGTTACTGCTGAGAAATGGAAAATTGATAATTGGGAAGAAGTCGTGACACGATTTTTAGTTATTTATTTTCTTAAAATAATATTATTCTTAAAACATGTATCATGTGTCATGTATTTGGGCAGTCAAAACATGATCAATTAGTATTTATAGGCTATAAAATACTCTGTGTTTCAGAAGGATGTTCGCTACACTTGTTTTTGACTTTTTGTGAGGTATTTGAAATCCTGTAGTTTTATCCATGTAGTCCCAATAAAAAATTTGCCCGCTAACCCCTACTTTTCTTTTCATAATTTTATTCCATATAGTTTAAAAAGTCATTTTTTTAAATCTTATAAAATTCATAGTTTTTGAATGAAAAAAATGTGCCAATGTTAGACGTATGAAAAATCTAGAGAGAATCATTTCCCGCCAAATTTCTAATGGCTTATATCTCGAGAACAAGTGCACGGACCCTCAATTTTTTTCTGCTTTTTTAGTTTCTTTATCTATATGCTATCAATTTATAACAGTTATTTAAAAAGCTTGTTGTTTTGAAACAGAGTAGCAAACATCCTTGAATTAGATAGCGATCACGAAACCGCAGTGACGTAACTGGTGCCTAGTCGATAAAATGTCTCAAACTTGACGATGTCGCACACTTTTCTTAACAATTACACGATGGACGGTATTATCAGCAGTTTTCCCGATAACTGCCAAACATATGACATTTGACCTCATCAAATTTGACCCATTGAGTGTAGAAAATAACCTAGAAAAGACATTAATTCTTTATCCGAAGATTTCAACATAGACGATGTTTCAACCAATACCGATCGGCTTGTAATCACACAGAGGGTTCAGTTGATAAATAAATTTTACAAAGCGCTTTCTGCAATTGTTTTTTAGAATTTGTTAAGAAAACTTCTACTAGTATAGAATGTATATCTTCCGAATTATTGGTGATCAAATAATCCACAGAAAATTGATTTTATCTGTGTTGCAGTAACGTTATAGATATGCCACAGAAGCAGGAAAAAGTTATATTTAACTTCCCTTTAAAAAAATTTCTTATTTTTTGTTTGTTACGGAGGACCTTTTTACGCATATATGTTATCATCCAAATTAATACCTCCATATATATATGTTTTGGTTGTAAATCATAAATGACACTTTGACACATCTGGCTTCCTGTTTTCTGCATTTGGAAAAATTTTGTCCCACAGTTACAATAGACTGCAAATATTTGTATAACTCAAAAGAGTCTTTAAATATCACTTTATTTCTTTTCCCTCTACTTTGTTAACCTTTATTGTAGGCTGTTGTTTTAGTATTTAAATGTTTACACCTACCAAGTGAAAGATAATAATAAACCAATAGTGTATTTTATTCAAATTTAATTTCAATGACCTATGAAAATCATACATTATTAGGAAAATATCTTATGCTAAAATAATGATAATGGTCATACTAAATATATCTTAAATATACAATACAATCCAGACTCTTATAAATCTTACTTATAATTATAGGCAATGTAAAATAAAATTCCCATATTTTCAGCCCTATCCCCAAATAATTCTTAGCATGTCAGTGCCAATCTGTCTAAGAATCAGGCAGTGGTAAAAACATGACCAACAAAAACCCACTCAAGTTGACATTAATTTATGTTCAAAATGTATAATGGTGCACGAATATAACATTCGTTTCCTTGTCCTGTTCTGGTAATTCAAGATATAATTTGGTTGAAATGCACTGATTCTTACAAAGAACGGCACTTAATGCGTGCATATATACCAGCAAAATGCTTGAATCTAGTAACATATGTGCAACGAATAATTCTGGTTAGATGTATGTCAAAAACATTTATATATATATGAATGATATTTTTTATTGGGATCAATCTGGGTTGAACATGAAAATGTATACATGTAACATAAACAACATAAAAAATGCATAAATAATATAGATCACACACAAGATTTGCAAGACTCTAAATCACTCAGTTTTGATTCTGAAGGTTTTCCTTCCTCATTTCAAAAGTTGAAGAGCCTGACCTCCTTGAAATCTGAGGGTGTTGATGGTGAACTGTTCTAACATATTTTTTTCATATTTTATACGAAACAATTGGTTCAAGTGACACTTTCTTTATTTGTAATCAAGTTACCTCTACAAAAATGATCAATATTAAACAGATTAAAAGAATTAATAAAGCATATATTGCATTACTCCGTTTATGTCTGCTTAATTTTTGAAGAAGAAAAAAAGAATACTTAATATTAAATCGTAAACTTACGTGGATAAACAATAACAATTGGTATCAAAATAGCAAAGATACAAAACCAACACCACTTTATCATCAGGACGCCAGGTGAATCGTTGCACTAATGAAATTAAACTGCAAATTATGTGCTAATTTGGAATAATTTTAACTCATCCTTTCAGCTAACCTTTAAACTGCTTTATATACGATACTGAATTTTCTCATTTCACTATTTTTGTTCAGGTAATTTCAATATAGTATTGTCACGTTCTATCTAATGAAACTTTAAAAATTATAAGAACATAGACGATTTGACATTCCATGTAGATTTGTGTTCAATAATAGCAATTGTATCGATGAAATACAAAAGTAATTATTATCTACTTTAAAATCAAAACAGTACTAAAAACGAAAACAAGATTGCTAAGCAGAAGCGAAATGTCCTTTGTCGCTATGTGCTAGTATTATATGATATTCTCATGAGTAGACTATGAAGCTATGGTCGCCCTTATCAACAGAATAAAATATAAATTATTCACTACCAAAACAATGTGTTGAGAGTTCAATGTATTAACTACATTGATATGAATGACCATATTCATAAGCAAGCCTTTTAAAAATATCAACACGATACTTTTCAAAACAGAAAATCTCGTGCATAACTTATGTAGTAAAATATCGGTAAAAATGAGGACTAATATTTTTACTGAATACAAAAGCTTTTGAACAATAATCCTCACTGTGTCAATTTTGCTTCAATATGTAACTACGGTCTATTCCCGGAGCTCTTGCAAACAATGCCAAGAAAATAAAAGTATCAGTATAATGAGCTACACATGATGTCAGACAATCTATTAAAATAGGCAACACATCGGGTCAAAATTATAACTCCTAAAAACATTGCAAAATTATCCTTTAGTAAAGTAGGGTCCAGTGACCATAAGACCCCAACCTTACTAGGAATTAACGCTTTCAGGTAACCGGTTCAAACGAAATAGCGTTCACAGATTGTTATAATGTCATGTCAGGACAAAATGGTTTCATCTCCTTCGCATATCAAAATAACTATATGTCGAAGTCAAGTACACACATTTTTGAACAATCTCTCATTGAAGTATGAAGGTTATGAACATATATTCTCAAAGGACCAACCGTCACAAGGTGTCATAATGTTTATGCTTCAACATTTTAAAAAACAACTGCGAAATAATCAAAATAGCGGTAAAGAATGGTATTTGTAAGTTGTTTTATTTTTGTTTCGTTTTTTTTTAAATTTGCTTTATTGAAACAAAAAGACTGGAACACCTTGTATGAACAAAGCTATACAGAACGACGTAGTCACAGCCAGGAAAGTTTAAATCTAAACAACAAAGAATATGTCATTCACCTTGTAGAACGCCACATGCGGGGTATTGGCTATGTTTGACACGGGGTGGCAGTTTTGAAGCGGGGAAAAGGCGACCATGGTAAATAAAAGTATCAAAATTTCTTTTTTGAGAATTGTTAGCGCCAAATAATGTACTGCACGGAAGGAACCGAACCATAATCTATTTCCAGCAAACAAAAACAGACGTTTCCAGTGCTCCGTTTTCTCAAACACCTCTCCCCATGCAGTTTTCCGTGTTGCAAATTTTACAGATACAGTTAAGTCTGCCTCATATCTTGACTTATTTCTAGAAATTGACAATGAGGGTTGGTTGAGAACAAAACTTTACGACAAAAGAGATGTGTTCATTTTCTCGATTATGAACTTTCCATTTCGATTTAGTTACATTCCAGTATCATCTGCATATAGAGTATATATTCGAGAGGTTGCATTTCCTATAATCATTTCTTTGATAGAGGGTTATTGCTTATAATGAAGATATTGAACTAAGAGTTCCAAGTGGTGAATTTGAAATCATCCCTTCAAAAATTTCACAAATTGGTTAACCTTTACGAAATAACTTTTTTCACAGACAATGACGGATATGTTCCTATTGTCGTAATCATAATCCCGCCCTCTTTCTCTCGAATATGACCTGGTGAATTAGACTTATGAACAGGTCTGTACTTGCATGAGCAACACGATGGGTACCACATGTTGAGCAGGGCCCTAGAATTACAGTTTTTGTAAGTCAAACGAAATGTAGTTTATGAAATTTAGCTTCAATTTGATGGGAGTTCTCGAGTTCTTAGTGTCAAACTTAAGCATTTCTATTTATTAAGAAACAAAGCACGTGTTCATTACTTGTGTCATCTTATTATTGATCAATTGAAGTACGTGAAATTATGCGAATTAGTTGTATGAGGGGTGTTTAAAATTATTAGTAAAATTATAAAATAAATTTGGGTAGATTTTAGTAACTATTACTGAGTTTCATTTAATTATATTATCTACTCACTGGTATAATAGCCGATAAACATTGCAATTATTCAAATGTAGGATGGCAATGCATATTTTTTAACATTAATGCTCCAGACACAGATATGGAACTTGACGATTTAAACACCATAAAACATATCATCGGCAATTAGATTTTTTGGTATACGGAGCTCGCTTTATATTCTTGTTGATTAAGTAAGTATCAAAAACGAAAAATGCCAATATTCTATATGTATCATCATGTTATCAAACGGTAACCCAATATAAACATGAATATAGACATAAATAGACATCCGTAACCCATCTCTAGCTAAGGGGTTAAATTGAGGGTCACATGAATACGGATTCAATGAGATCGAATTATTTACTTGCAAGTGAATAATTCATCAGTGATGTTTCTTTGCATATTTTGACAAAATTTGAACCAAAATGGCTTCTAAAAGCGAATTAATATTTCACTATTTCACTTTCAGTAGTAATTGAACAAATTTTCCGAATCGTTAACTGCAAATTTTTAACATAAATATTTCTCTAATTTGTTTTGTAGTTTGTTTATTTTTGCTATAAAGACAGGATACATCAAGCTTGATAACACATGTAGTTTCAAGTATGGTCTTTCAGACAATTCCTTTTAAGTCTATTTAATTACATCAACTCTAAAAAGCAAACATAAAAAATTGTATAACTATAATGTTTGTACCAGTTATACAATATTTAAATCATCTAGGACATATTGTAATGGCAACCATTTTTTATATACATACTATTTTTGAGTAGGAGTTAAGTAATTAACCATATGTTGTTCTATTCTTATACAATATTTTAAATATTCAGAATTACCTTTCACCGACATTTTTTCTCCTGATTTGTTTACAGTTATATGTTGAACTGTATTATATGGGTCAAAGATTTCCCCAATACCAAAAATAACATTCCTTGCATCTATCTGTTTCAAGATAAATCCACATTTTTATAGTAAGTTTTGAAGTGCAATGCAATTATTTCTACTGTATGCACATTCCCAAAAGATATGCGATAAGCTATCTTTGATTTCAGTGCAAAAAGTGCACATTTCTGTTTCTGTTAAACCACATGTATAAAGAAAATAATGTGTACCGATAATTCAATGTAAAAAAACTTGAAATGAAAATTTTGAAGTTTATTGTTTTTTGTTGCTTGAAATGCAGTTGTGTAGATTTTCCCCCAATCTTAAATTTTGATACATGAATTCTCTGATCTTGAATGATTTTCTTTAATATTTTCCAGGAACAATCGATAAACTATCTACATGTTTTTTTTTTTATCATTTTCTGTTTTTCTAAAATATTATTTTCAATAATATATAATCTACCTTACTCTGAAAAAAATCTCCAGCTACCTGGGATTGCACTAACAAGATCATAATATTCAACAAAATTAGTTTCAACTGTATACTGAGATTTAAACTGTTCAAATGTCAATATGTTTTTTCTGTATCTGAGATTAGATTATTTATTAAAAAAAAAATATACCCTCATTACAATAATTTTCATAAATAAATGGCTTTCCACATATTATAATGTTAATACTCAGCCAAATTGATGCAGGATGTTTATGTCAGTGTTTTCATGTTTCATCTTTTCTGGCTTCAATTTGGACAGATTAAGAAAAATATCTCTCCAAAAAGGATTTAACTTTTTTCAACAGTTTCAAATGCCTCTTTTGTCAGGTGCAAGATTTTATCTCCCCCATATTTTTCTTTATAACTTAGTAATAAACTCTTCCAAGGGGAAACATTCATGGGATCTAGCAATTTATAAAGCCATGACATTTTAAAGGACATTCAAAAACTTTCTACATGGGTGAATTTAAAACCTCCTTCATCATAATTATTTATAATAACCTTCCTTTTTATTTTGTCTGGCTTTCCATCCCACAAACATTTGTATTTCTTGCATAACCTGAACTGGTGGATTTAGAAGTACTGTTAGGACCTGTGCCAAAAGTGGGAGAGCCAAAGTTTTTATAACAATGGTTTTGCCAATATATGTCAAGGTCCTGTATGTAGGCTTTTCATGCTTTTATAAGTGTTATCCTCATTTAAGAGATTGAAACGAATTTCCAACAGTCTAAACTTTCCTGATGTATTTCATGATAATTTCTTATTTGGTAAAAGTTTTTCATTGCTACTTAATCTTGAACCAACCCATATGGCTTTCGATTTATCTACATTTACTGAAGACATATGGGTTTTTTTCCCAGAGATACGATATTTTGCAGACAACAAACACCTTTACGGAATGAAAACTGTTGGAATAAGGCTGATCAAAATGAACTGCAACACAATTTACGATAAATCCCTACCGTTTTAATCATTTGAAAAATTCACGGCACAATAAATCAAAATGTTACAGTGTTCAGTGTAAATAAAATCAGAATTCTTTGAGATTCTCCTTAAAATCTATATACTCTTTAAACTCTTTGTAGAAAGATATGGCAGGTTTAGAACGCTTGTTGCTTAAGTACTCTCTCCAACTTAAAGACATGTTGTTGTTTTTTAAGCTGTTAATTTATATATCAATAATGAAGTATTTGCAAAAACGAATAAGTAATTGAAGAATTTAAATATAGACAATTATTCAACGTGTTACCGAACATCACATTAATTCACGAATGTGCGTAGGGCTTTGTTTAATTATCAGTGTTGATCGGTCACGTGTTGAATATTTGTTCATTTTTGAATTCTTCGATTAGTTATTCCTTTTATTACATTGACCATAAGCATATTGATTTTAATCTTTGCATTCACAATTTGTTTTGGTGCAATATCATCAACAATGTCTTGAAGTCTTGACAGACAATATCCATTGGGGTATGCTGTCAAA